ATCATCCTGTGAGAAAAAACAGGAAGTTCAACTCACTTCTTCACCGGTTCAGCCGCCGTCTTCTTCTGAACCTCCTTGTCTTTGCTCTTGGGCTGAAAGAAAGATCTGGAAACAGAACAGACAGTGAGTGACGAACGGTGATGAGTTAAAGGTCTTCGTCTTCTTCTTCCTACTGCCCCCTACAGGCCACTCTACAGAAGATGATCGGACTTAACCCTTGGCTACTGTTGTCAAACCAACCACCCTGATGTTCACTAGCTTTACTCCTCAACATAGGTTATAGTTAGAAAACCCAGTTGTTGTAAGTAAAAAGTTGGGAGTTATTCCTCTATGAAACAAACAGAAAAAGAAGAAAAACTAAGTAGATAAAAAAGACGAAGAAGGAGAGTAAAGACGCGGTTTCAATTAAACGGTCAAATTGATAACAACTACTAAATCATACACTGACAAGGTGACAGAAAATTTTAAAGTTAATACCTAAACAAAAAAAAAAGAAAACAGTTATCTGTTCCTGATTCTTCTTAAAGACACGAACTAATGCTAACGCTAGTTAGCAAGCTATGCCACTGAAATAAACGGTAGCTAGCACTCATGAACACACAACACTATTAAGTTAATTCAAACATATATATATATAAAGTATATATAAAGTATATACGAATGTATATTGTCAAGTGTTAACGAAGGTTAGCTGAGGCTTAAATGTACCGAGACGTCTCCGAACCGACGCTACTTCCTACGTATCTCGGAACTTAGCTTAGCTAACGACGGTGTTTTCTCACTCACGCTATGCTGCGCTGCATGTCGTCCGAGAACCGTCACCTACACCGGCAGAAGAACTGAGACCAAAAAGAAACTGTAGGACAGCGTGTCAAACATCCACAAACGGTCCCGCGCAGCCACGCTGTGACGACGGCAGTTAGAATATTCCCCGCGAAAAGAACGTCAGCCAGAGATCGTATATAAAAAATAAGATGAGTCACTGAAGAGGGGGGGGAAACGGAGACGTCGGTGTTTCTTTTAATTTTATTTTATTTTTTTAAAGAAAGTGAGATAATTTTTTCAATGGAAATAAAATAGAAATAGATGTTTTTTGGGGTTTATATTGTTTATAATTATCTGTTTGCCTGGGATTTAAAATCCTGTAAGAGTGGTACCTCTTCTCTTTTGTAGATCTCGGCACAGACAATTTTCCCGGGGGAAACTCTGTGGCGGTACAAAGTCTGAGGGCCAGTCAAAGGCGTTACTGCCCTCCCTCGGGTCGGGGTGGAACTGTTGAGTCGCGACGGTGCAGAGAAGACAAGACAGGGCTCTCCGTCAGTGTTAATATAATAATATTAGTATAACGCGAGTGCGCGCGCACGTGTGCGTGTGCACGTGAAGGCAAGACGAACAGCGGAACAATGTAAACTGAGAGATTTAGCTTTATTAACCAAACATCAGGGACATTGACAAGTCTGATTCTCTGTTACTAGTCTCTCTCTCTCTCACACACACACACACACAATCACAGACATTAAATAAAGAACTCAATTAAAGTAAAGTCCAAAAAAACAAAAACAAAAAAGTTCAGTTTTATTTTTCCGCTCCTTCATTCCTGACGCTCCCCCACTCTCCCGCCGTCTCCATCAGCCTGGGTCTTTTTCGCTGCACCCAGCAGTGACGTGGTCGGACTGATGCGGTTCAGGTCCCACCCTGTGGGGGGCGCTCTTCGGGGGCCGGACGCCGCTGCTGCTGCTGCTGACACGATGTGCCAGGGTGAGGGATGGGAGGCAGGACTCCCTGAGGACGACCCCTGGACGTCCAGGAGCACAGAAGTGAGCGTGGAGAGCCCGGGGGGTGAGGAGGGGCTTAGGGAGGCAGCAGG